ATGTGCCATTTGTCAGGGTGTCATGGACAATTGGTCCCTTTTATTGAAGTTTTACTTGGATCGTTGTGTCGTGGTATTAACTGGATACAATATTCACATGTTAATACTTTAATATAAGTTTACCGCAAGGTAATACAGCAAATGCTATTTTACCGTAATAATGTTGTCCCAACTCCCAAATAACGGAATTATTATAATCTATTTGATGAGGTGGGGCCGTGACGTTCGTGAGTGTTTTTACTTTATAATTATAGTGCGTGATATTAGACCACAAATTAATTTGGAAATTTAGTAGCTTTTAAATTTGAACGTTTATCATAGCTCTATATTGGCATTGAATTGTCACCTTACGTTCTTACCTTACATGCTTTCCTTATGTTTATTGATCATTATCGTTGGTTACAAAAAACACGGCAAAAGTTGTGTCAAACGAAACTTTTCAATTTACAAAATACGAACTTAATAATGCGAAAACAGACTTTCAATTATTCTACACAATTTTCAAAATATTTCTATAGAGCAGAAAATGGTACGATATTGAAAATTGGATTGAAGATTGTTTGAATTACTAAATATTCGAATTCTTTTTAATCGTTTACCGGTATTTATTTTATTACCATACTGGCCAGAAACATCGCATTGCGCTACTTGTATATATAATTATATACTACTTGTAGTTGCACTAACACAATTTAGTACGTCATGAATTTAAATATAAATAGCGAAATGATTTCAGATTTAAATTTTAACCACAACAAAAAACACGCAAAAAAACGACGTCTTAATTAATTTCGAAAGTCACACGATAATTATTTCGTTTGACTCCGGATTCGCCGCTCTGCAGGAATTTGAGGAGAAAAGAATTTCAATCGTTTAATCTTTAAAATTAAAATATGAACGGTTTTTTAATGGCATATTTTATCTGAGGTAGTTTCTTTGCCCATATATAGTCATTTTATTTTAATTTCTACAATTTTCATAGCCGTGCCGTTTATACTTTATTGCTGACAAACCATGGTCCCAATCTTGCATATTCGCTTTTTAAATTCTTCTGAGAAATAAGTAAAAACAACCTAAAAACAACAAATCGTCTTGTAGATGAAAAAATGTCATCCGTGGATAGGGTATTATAAAATACCCACTACGCGTCCGTCACCTTCTCCTTCTCAATAACATTTCAACAGTTACAGTTCCTCAAGTAAAAGGTATGAGCGTTCAATTTGGGGATTAAGATTTGTTCTAGCTTTTAAGGAAAAATGAGTAATCTACAATTTATACTGCTAAACACCCCCAAAACGGCAAAACAGCTAAAAACACTATATAAACAGTATATCTTCACAGGATCTGTCTTTATCTCTATCAGATCTATCTCCACCGGACTATGATCTTCTCCCTGAGGTCCAACATGATCTCAAGAAGATTGTCCCTGGGACAAAGACACCCTTCAGGGCACATAATCCGCAGGAGCAGCAGCACTTCTTCGTCTCTTCAACAGTGTGACACTGTCTGGTAAACCACTCTTTTTAAGTTTCAAACACAAGAAAATATTTTGTGATTCTCCCCCGGTTTACTATTTTTTAAAGAATATGTATTTTATATCATCTTACATATTTTCCACAATTTATTATTATCATTTAATTATTATATAATTACCTTTCCACTAGGCGAGCACAGTCTGTAGACAATAACGATATCAACGTGTCAGACTGGATGGACAGGTTTGGTAGTAATAATTATTTTAAATATACATCATAATCCCGCCATCTCCATTTTACTCGTTTCCGTGGAATGCTAGGCTTGTCCCCTTACCCCAAAACCAATTTCCTTATAACAAAAACTAAGGATGTTACAATGCGTGTGCAATTTAATGAGTGTGCCTTTTAGGGAGATATAATAAATCCCGTATCCTTGTTCATTTATTCATATTCGCGATATTTCTTGAAGATATTTATATAGTTCAACTATACTGTATAATATAACAGTAACACTCCTTTTTTTCTGCATTTTATATTCACAGCCAATTCGAACTTAATAATTCATTTAATATTTGCGGTATATTTCTTGAAAATATTTTATTTATTGGATTCCTTTTATTCTGCATTTCTTTTCACAGCTTCTTTTCAAATTTTAGAGAAAACGCAATTTTAACCGTTTCGAATTGCGAATTACCTAATTTCACGCAATCAGGCTAATTAACTATTCAATAATTATGCTAACTGATATGAGCAGGAGTGTGTTCATGAAGCCGAGTAGTGGGCTGGGGACCAGTGACTCTGAAACAGAAGGCTTGGTTCTATGTGCGCGCAGTTGTGAGTTAAATTTCATTTTTTGCCACTGAGTATAATTTTATCTTTTGCCTCTGAGTACAATTTAAATATGTTTTGATTTGTAATTATTAAGATTATTAAGATTATTAAGAATTTTGATTTATATGCCATTCTAAGTTTGTTATTTTGATCACAGATTTATTTTTTGGTAGGAGGTGCACGATAAAATTTTCAACATTTTTGTAAATTGTTTTCTAAAGACTGTGAGCTCTTTTACAACAGCAAATTTTTCATACCTTTTTGGAATGACTCGTAAGTGATACCTAAATGCCATATTTAATTACGCTCCGCTTTTGGAGCGTAAAAGTAGCGTAATTTCAAATTTGACGAAATTCATTGATTTTCGTTGTATTATTCCGTCATATCTTCGGTTTCTGAAATGGGATAATTTTAAAAATTTGTAAAGACCTTCTTCCTTCTAATTGGACTCAAGAAACATTTTTTTTAACTTGGTGGATGTCGGAGTTGATATAATGATGAAAATTGAGCAAAACTGTTGTTTTGAGTCTACTTCTAGTTTGAGCTGTAACATATTGTTTGATGATTTTATATGCTCCAACTTTTTCGAAAATTTTTTTGTAAGTCTATGAGTCAGCTTACCAATTTTTGTTATGAATATGATTGGATTGAGGGAAGGTTGCCAAATATGTATTGCATTTGTTTCACAAATTTTGTGCTGGCCGAAATTAGCGCTAAAAACCATCCTACAGTCAGCACGCGCGGCTCACTGTCGATGGTGCACTACCTAATTTTGGAGATGAAGCAGGTTTTCAAACAATTATTTTTCAGCGGAAGACGATCTGAAGCTGGGCGCTGAGGGTGAGTTTAATTAAATTAGGCTTAGGGATCATTCAGAATTCACATATTATTACATAATCACTTTTTGATAAATTTGTATCCCCCTCCGTAATCAGTTTTACGCATAGCTATTGTGTTATTGATTTAATAGCTAAAAGTAAATGGTTACCAGCGTAGCGTAACCATTTAGAAACCCCATCCCTCCACTGCATTGATTACCTAATAGTAATAGTAATAGTAATATGTGAACGACCTCTAACTACAATATGAATAATTTTGAAACAATTCTAAGACATTTACGAAAGAGGATAACTGAAGTGAAGGAACTACTGGTAGAGTGGTACATTATCAGACACTACTTAAAATAAAACCATTAGCCTAACTGCTTAATTGCAATATCCCCCTGTTTTAGTCTTCACGAAGGACACGTGCCTGTGGTAATGAAATCTCGTCCCCATTAACAGTTTCCAAAATCATATAAGTGCAACCCGTACTGAGCCACTTTAGCTGTGATCAAAGCACAAGGGGGCACTAAATTCATTTGCATTATATGCAATTCTCCGGATAGATCTTAAATCTGTGAAACATACAATCTATACAAATTATACACTCTGCCACCTTAACGCTAGTACTCTAGTAGATTGAGAGGGTATTTTCTGTTTTGTTCAGGGAGCAAACTTGTCACATCCAGCTTAAGCTGCTAGGACAAGTCGGACACACTCAACTAAATAACCGTGAGAGTCCACCACAAATCTCCCTAAAGAGCTATCAACAGAGTGTGAGTCTGACAACGAGCGAGGGTATATTCGTGTATTATAAGTGGCATTTTGCAGTTTTCAAATTATACCATAACGGAACAAAGCTCTATAAAACTGAGTGCTAGCAGTTATGATAGTCCTGCACAGTTCTCTTATTACAGTTACTGGGTTAGTGTCCGTATAAGAGATCTCTTAAAGTTATACGGATGTTGATAGATGTAACCCTCTGACCCTCTTTAATCGAATTAGATGCCAATTTAAATTTATTTATTGTTGAAATGGTGTTTTGTAAATGGTGTTTTGAAATGGTGTTTTGTAAAACAATTCCTTGTGTTTGATATTTGTGTTCTCTTATTAAGATTCTCTCTTATATGGACACAGAAAGATAACGCTTTAACCCTAAGTGCGAGCAGACTTACCTGCAATATGTTCATTAATATATTATTTTGTCTCCCTTTCTCTATACTAGAAAGAGCTGTGCCATTATAAAATAGATTTACTAACTTATCACATGGTTGCTCCGATATTCGTGACCCTTAGATAATGCTTTTAACGCGTTTTCAATTGTTATATCTGAGTGCTAATTTCTGATGCAGTTATCGCGTTTTCATAAAGACAGATAGATAAGATAAGATTAGATTTGATAGATAACAGTGCCCTGATCTCCATTAATGATAACAGTGCTCCCTGCTTAAAAGTTCTCATCGCTTTGAAAGCAGTTCGTTCACGAGACTTCTATTATTTCGCTCGCTTAAAAATAACCACGTCATTTGGGGTTTATGGTTTTGATGGTAAACTAAAAATCTCTACTTAACCCTAAAATCAACCCTTAGTCTAATCATCTAAATAGTTAGTCTAATCATCTAACGTTTTTAAATCAGTTAGTCCTTGTATTGATGCTACAGGAAATTAATAGTGCTTGTTGTGGTTTTTATTTTGGTAGCCCCAGTTTTAAAACCGAATCCTAAAGTTTTAACGTTTTTGATCGCTAAAAGGACAAAATAAAAGCGGCCGCATTTCTTGTTTGCTTCTGAGTAAAATTTCAATGCATTGCGATTTGTTATACTTTATTAAAAATGTGGATTTGTATGCCATTCTAAGTTGTTTCCAAAGGACCCATGTCGAGTACACGTTCCACACAAAGTATGACTTCCAGCAGTGCCAGCAGTATCTCTAACAACCCCTCTGCTAAAAACAGAGGCTGTATCAACTGGTGCTCCTTCTTCAGCTCCACTACTGGTTCCTTCATGAACACTTCGGGGTCTGTGTCAGGGTCGCTGGAGGAGATTTATCTGTCTAGGTTCCATCTGGCTGTCTCTCAGTGTATGTCAATTAATATTCGGCGCGTTATAAAACAATTCCTTGTGTTTTATATTTTAGATATATCTGTCTGCGTTCCACTTGGCTGTTTTTCAATGTGTGTTGTTGATAAAACGGCGTCGAATGAAAACAATTCCTTGTGTTTTATATTTGAGATATATCTGTCTGCGTTTCATTTAGCTGTTTGTCAATGTGTGTTGTTGATAAAACGGTGTCGAATGAAAACATTTCCTTGTGTTTGATATTTGAGATTGATTTTCAGAGCTGTAATTTTGCTTTTTCAGCAATTGTGTCTGATTTGGAGAGTTCCCCGGGGAGCAACACAACCCATCCAAACAACCTTCTCAAGTTCGACTCTCTAGCACGGGCAGGGTAACTAATAAAACCACTGTTTTATCTCTTAATTTGTTGATTGAAGTGATTGAAGTGAAATGAAGTGAAAAATAAAAAAAATTCCTTTTTTATTTTTCTCTTGATGTTGAAAAAAAGGGCAATATTCGAAGTTAACTTTTAGAACAACGTGCTATATCATATTAAGAGAAAGCTCAGTATTGAGAGGTTTTCAATTATTCATAGTTTATAATTATTCATAGTTGAACTTGTCATGAACTGCAGTTGCTGCATTTCAAATAATTTACCTTCACAAAACCACATATTCATTTTTGACTACTTAAAAGTCTTCAAGCTTATTGATATTCGAGATAAGAACAAAATCGCTGAGCCTGAACAGTGTAATACAATTATCTCCTTATATGGGCACCATGTGTGTAACATCATCTTACTCAGGTCACGAGGAGGCGGTCACCACCTACCAAGTCAGGATAGTGAAAGTAGCTGGACCAGCAACCTAACCGGCTCTTCTCATCACTCTAAGGTAGGTTTCTATCTCCTTATATGGGCATCACGTGTGTAATACTCAGACTCCTTGGACCGTATTTTTACGTACAGTTTAATCATTCCACCTGCTAATTGTTTATGATCTTTCATTATCTAACTAAGTAACCGATTTAAAACCCTGTTTTATTTTAACATGGAGTTTGGGGAAAGGAAACATCCAAAATCGGGGTTCAGACTTCAGGGTAAATCGGGATTTTGTTTGTTTACATTGTGCATTTTAAGCCCCATTTAATGAGTGAAAAGAAATGGACGCGCTAAATCTGGATTTGGCTATATAACTGGTAACCAAGTAAGTAAGTAGCTAGACAGTAATGTGTATTACAAAAAACTCCAAGGTATGAAGTCTGTAAAGTATAAACAATTTAAGGGGGGGGGGGGGGGGGGGGGGGGGGTTCACCCTAATTTTCTTGTGAAATTTGATTCCGAGATAGCAATTGACCAACAAACTAAGGCCGGTGACCGAACTTTTGAGGGGGTTCCGGACTCCGGGTGCCCACCAGTGCCTGCGGGACAGCCACGCCCATATTTGGTCCAAATTATGCCCAGTTATGCCAAATCATCTTAACATGCTCAAAACCCAGACTTTATGTTCTTTATTTGTAGCTAGTGGTCTCTTGAACTCGTATATGAATTTTCGTCAAGATTGGACAAAAAATGATTGAGTTATGAGCTAACAACCATATGCACCAAATTTGATCGATTTTGGCCAATAAATTGGTAAAATATCAATATTTTTGAATGAAACTAACTTTATATAAAAGTTAAGTCTAAACTACACATTCTCTATGATTATCAGCTCAATATCTACCTAACTGTGGATTCTGTGTTCAAATATTCGCAAAAAATGAACAAAATTGCCCATATGCATATTATTAATTATATCAGTTTGCGATATTCGCGAAACTGATTTCGCTCAAAACAATAGAACTCAATAGGGTTTCAAAATGTTTTCATGAAATTTTCAGAATCAACGTAGAATCGCATTTCGACCTTAAGTTTTGGAGTGGAATTTTGAGTTAGGCCTTTAAAAACATTTGGTGGCCAAATTCTGAAAAATGCCTGGTCTCTTAGTACTAGTACTCATATGGTAACTAAATAACATGGAATTTATGAGTAAGTCTTGACGCGATTTGGTCATATCTTTATCAACCGAGGAAGCTTAGTTCTTCGTCGACACATACTTATTAATATTAGTGCACATTTATATTCGAGCACTTGATTTGAGAGTGGAGTAAGTAAAGTATGATAAATATAAGTAAAGTATGATAAATATTTAATATTTTGTGATATTTTGTGATGTTTTTGATATATTTTGTGATGTTTTAAATATTTTGTCACAATGACTTGCTGAACAGTTTACTTTTATGTTCCATACCAGTCCTTGAACTATCAATATCATTGTTCTCTTACTGTTTGTACGAAGAAAGACAACTGTCGTGTGTACACACTATCCACTGCGTCTTTACACCTTAAATATAATAACAAACATGTACTAGTGTACTGTAAATACAATAACAAACATTTAGTGATGTACTGTGAATAACAAATATATACAATGTGGTGACCTCTGACCACGTGGTGACCACGTGTTGACCACGTGGTGACCACGTATTGACCACGTGGTGACCACGTATTGACCACGTGGTGACCTCTGACCACGTGGTGACCTCTGACCACGTGGTGACCTCTGACCACGTGTTGACCTCTGACCACGTGGTGACCTCTGACCACGTGGTGACCTCTGACCACGTGTTGACCTCTGACTACGTGGTGACCTCTGACCACGTGGTGACCTCTGACCACGTGGTGACCTCTGACCACGTGGTGACCTCTGACCACGTGGTGACCTCTGACCACGTGGTGACCTCTGACCACGTGGTGACCTCTGACCACGTGGTGACCTCTGACCACGTGGTGACCTCTGACCACGTGGTGACCTCTGACAACAACTCGTGTGAGGGTTATATAATAAGCTTTGTTATAAGTTAAGATAAACTCTACACTTTACTGTATATTGTTAGTAAACTCTACACTTTACTGTATATTGTTTATAAATAAACTCTATACTTTATTGTTTTCATCAGTCTATATATTTGTCTTCCCATGAGTTAACGGTACTCAACGTTTTATTTAGAGCAAAAATGTGTCCATTGGAGTAAACATTGCAATTTACCACGTCGTGATATAGTGTTACTAACCAATATTACTACTTAGCTACAAAATAACTTTGCGGAGGACACATTAGAACAGAAGTGACGTTTGATGAGGTTTCAAACCTGTTGTCACTCAGTTTTACAGCATCTGTCCTTGTTGTGATACATGACCGGCATTTTAGTCGGCCTCCTCTTCATCATTTAGTCTCGATTTCTGTTTTATTTTACGCACTTATACACACTAAACTACGCATTCCTTTGATAATTATAATTGTTAATTAATTCCATGTTAAAATTCCGCGTATAACATCGCACGTATGTCAGAACCTACTGTATTCCTCGCTATATTGCGCTGCATACATCAACATATTGTTTCATTGCAATATCTTATATCATATATGTGGGGTATATGTATAGATATGCGTACATCCTATATCTACGTGATATCTACGTGTGTAAGCTATCGGGGACCTTTAAACGCAACTTGTTTACATGTGCGATATTTTCTTTGCGACAAAATGCGTTGTTGGTTTTCAGACAAAGAGTTGAGAGACTTAGTCGAGTTAGATGGTAGTAGTATAAACCGAACTGTTAATTAATTAGACGGAGCACGAAATAACTTTGCGGAGCACTACTATCATACACTGTTATATATTCGGCTAAATATAAAAGTATAAAGTAGCTGGTAAGCTTTATATTCTAATGTTATAACTATAGTATAAAGCTACAACTCTATATTCTGTGTGTTAATCTTACTGTTATTAATCTTACTCTGGTAATGTTCCTTGTTACAGCTGGCCAGACCAAACAGATTGGATAATCGATCTATGAGATTGACGTAGGCCAATTGTCTCTTTGGGCTCTGAAAAGGACGGACCAACATAATTCCAACGCAATTAGCAGTGGAGCTCCAAAATAGCATATATTTCTTGGTGAAAATGGAAAAACCTTCGAGTAAATTGACATTTATGCCATTTTAGGTCATTGTCCCTACCACAGCTCAGAGTTCATAATTAATCTTATAACCTTGAGATTAAAACTCTCACTAGAAAACCAGATAGCTTTACTTTCAGCATCTTCGCGTGGTTTCTCCGGTTGCAGCAGCTGCAACTTTGATTCCGCCTAATTTTAGGGCTTTAACGAACCTTTATCTAAGTAACATTAAACGAAGACTTTCGTGTTCCCATCCTTATACTGCAATAGTAAAGTGTAAAATACTTAATGTGTGATCCTTGTCCAAACCCTAATTCTTATACTCTTATAGTACAAAATGGTAAGGAGTAAATTAGTAAATTAGGAGCAATGAAATGTTCTTTCTGGTTACTTCTGCTCCTTATTACTGCTCCTTAATTACTAGTAGTTTATACCACTGTGGCAAGTGACCAGTCACTGCAAGTAGTTCTATAGTTGAATTCAAACTCTGAATTACCCTTCTAAAAACATAATAACCCCGCCATTACCACAATTCAGCTAACGTGTACTTTGAGTTACCCTTCTCAAAACATAATTATAACATAATTCATATACCAAAACATAATTCCCAAGCCAGCTAACTTTTAGTATTTAGCTATTTACTATTCTAACCCTTGTACTAGTTCAACCTATTATACAGCACTGGTTATATCATTGTTGAGCTGCTACGTAAAGTAAAACTCCCTTGGAGGCCGACTGTAATTAATACTTTGCTCATTCTGTAATACTATATGTTATGTAAATATATAAATCTTGGTAAGGCAGTTACAACAATCGCTACCCCGTGTGCAAGGTTATTGCAGTTTTGTTTTGATTATACATTTTCTTTTAGTAATTCTTCTTCCCGATTTGTCGTAAAGTTTCTTTGTCATCTTAATGATGAATAGGATCAATATTTCCGTATCGTGATGACTGACAAACATCTTTTAAAGATATTACCATAGGTAGTAATTAATAATAATTACCATTGTAGCGTGGTAGTAGTAGTGTAGCGACTGAACGGCTCACTCGTCAGATTGTTACACTTACAATGCAGGAAGATTACGATATTCGTTGTAACAGTTTCCTTACTTTTTTTGAAAAAATGCTGTCCTTAAATTTCTCGACAGGAATTCATAATTATAATGAGTGATAACATGTAATGGTAAATTTAGTTGAATACCCTTTGTAAATTCAAAACACACACCTGCAATTGAACGATTAGATTGACTCTTCTAATTTTGCTGCTAAACACTTTCGCGTTGTCGATAAAAAGTAGAGCTTAAGATTAAGAAAGTTTAAACTAGACTGGAAACAATTGTAGCTGCATTGAGTTGTCACCTGTACGTCACCTGTAAGTCACTTGTAAGTCCGTACCTTTAAGTCACACATTTATATATAATATGTTTAAAAGCTTTTAGTTACTTTAAAAGCTTTTTACTATAATAAGTTTTTGAATTTGTGTCGAATATTTTAACAAATGAATAAACTGAATTTTCTGTTCAGAAAAAAACTACAAATTTAGTTGAGCTATTAGATTTTATTTTTTGTTCTACTGCATGGGAACATCTAGGAAATTCAGTTTTTTAAGACATTGATCCGCTTAAATTGACTACAAATGACGTAATCTGAGGGCCTTCATACAATGATGAACGACCAACTGATTCCGAGTGCGCCGAGAAAGATTCAAAATTAAATAAATACCGTAGAGTGGCGCCAATAACAATTCAAATTCGTCGCAATAACTTCGCCATTAGTAAAACAGCATAGATCTCTCCTGGTAGCTGTGCTGGAGTACTTAAACTATCTAACATAATTCCACTACCCTGCATATAATTGCAAACTAATTGCAACTAATCGCAACTATAATTGC